TCGGCCGCGGCGAGAAACTCTTCGGTGAAATACTCCGGAATCGATTGCGAATTCTGAGTTCTCGGCGAGCTTCCCGAAGAAGTTTTGGTGGGCGGCGGAGCCGCGAAGTTTTGGCGGTCAGTCGGTATAATGTCTTCAATCCGTCTCCGTCTCGAAGGTTCTTTCGCATTCCTCTATCGGACGGGGAAAGCGTACTCTTCCAGATATCCAAAGAGGAACAAGCCTCACCGTTCAAAGGTGAATATATAAGGATGTTTCCGGTAATGCCGACTTCGGTCCGGAGACCGCAAAGTTCGAATTCTGGTGCGCACGTCAACCGTTCAACTGGGACCTGCGGAGTGTGTTGCATCTGCCGGAAGACGAGAGATTACCGTGTGTCAGTAGGCAGAGCTGTGTAGCATCCATTCAACTGTCGACGGAGGATATTTCCATCTCAGATAATTATCATCAGTCTGATGAGGTGTATTTGTGAACCCGTTCGAGCTCAACTTCCCGATGGTTATTGCTTATGTACCCATTCATTGCATCTTGGGCGCTCGTGCGACAGCCCTTCACCTGCAAAAGGAACAATAATCAAGGACTCCGTGGCCATCTACGGCTCGGCGCCCTCTGTTGATGAACGGGCCCGTCAGGGCACGGGGACTGGAATGGCGAGTAAGTCTATCATGACCGAACTTCGCCTCAGGCTCGCAGGCTCCGAGGAGGATTCTATCCGCCTCGCTAACGCAGCTCTACGAGAGTCCGGCTGGTGACTTCGATCCCGGGCCAACGAAAATCTCGGAACGATGCTCTCGGAACGTAACTCGGGAGTGTGGCTTCGACTCGGCTCGGAGGAGTGCGCCCGCGTTTGTGGATCGAGAATCGACCGTCGCGTCGATCGAGAATCGACCGCCAAACGCTGAGCTGCTGTAAGCTGACCTCAGGTTGCCTTGCGCGGCCATCATGACCTGTTGGTGCGAGCGCTCCGGCAGGCTGGGGTCCCCAACACCGAAGAGCCTCGGAATCTCTCGGTGAATGATGCACTTCGCCCGGACGGCCTGATGGTGGAAGCTTGGTCCCACAGCAAGCGAATGATTTGGGATGTGACGGTGAAGGATTCCTTCGCGCCGAACTATCGCGGGATCGCCCGCAATGCTCTCGATGCAGTATTCGGTTTGATACCGTATATCTCCGAATTAAAGGCACCCCCCGGATACATGTGACTAGTTAGAAATACTATAATAGAAGACACCCCCTAATAGAAGGCACCCCCTAATAGAAGACACCCCCTAATAGAAGACACCCCTCGAATGCGATTCAGCCCGCGGGGGAAGGATGAAAGAATCTTTTTATGGAGGCAAGGGTGATCCCTTTTTTTCGGCATCTTCTTCTCGAAAATTACTCTCTACCGAGGTAATGTTAGCCACTTTCTTGTATTTAGGATATGCCTAGTATTTGGCAGTGTCTTCTATTTGGGGGTGTCTTCTATCATAAAATCTCCGACAGTGACTTGTATTTGAAGGATGCCTTTTGATTGGAGATATACGGTAGTACTTCTCCTCGAGATCGGTCTTGCCTTTGGAGTTCTCAGAGACGAGCCCAATTCTCATTTTATCCGGGATCAAATAAGTTATGAGCTAATCGATCCCAAAGGCTCCAACTCGGAATTGGTGGGATAAAATGAACGACTTGACAAGATGCACGTCATTCGAAGCATTGAATTCGTTGAATTAGTCGTCGGAACTCACATCTCTGCTTCTATATCTTCCAGGGTTCTCCCTGACCGCGAGCCGCTTCGGATGTATCTCCTGGACACTTTTCCGCATCTCAGCGAACACAAGCTTAAACATGCGAAAACTGAGCCAACTACACAAACCCCTATCGCTAGATATACGAAGCCTCGGGAGCCTTCTTTCACGGCGTCTCGTTTGTCGGGATGCAACTTATACACAATAAGGGCTATAGCCCCGGCGCATAGGCCCATGACTTCTAAGCTCATCTTCAGGACGAAAAGACTGCACTCGTTGGTGTCCTCCCTCCTTGCCCGCAAATTTTCTGCGTTCGGTCGATTCCTCGGCGGAGACACATTCAGTAATAACACGAGACACGTTTGCTAGCATATTTTGATTCCTTGATAATCGAGTCTCGGCCTCCTCTGGAAATGTACGATGAGATTGTCCGCCGAGACGCGGGACTGGAGTTCTAATCTCCTGAAACCGCTCCCCTACCCTAGATAGAGCAGTCCTCTCGACTCTCGTCCCTTCCTTAGAGGCAAGAATCGCAAATTATCGCGATCGATTCTTGGAGAATCCTGCTCCTCAGATCTCGGCGGTCAGTCATGTTCCAGTGTCTCCGTACCTATGGTCGAGAGATGATTCACTGCATGCAGGGCCTCGAGAACATCGCAAATCACTCATGAGTCATATCTCATGACTCTTCGAGGAATTCTCGGGCCGAATCCGCGAGGAAAGCATAAGACGCCGAGGGCATCTATTTGGATGAGCGCGCCCTAGACCCGGAGAATCGAGTGGCTCAAGCGCTTGTTTCGGCAGCGCTCCGAACTTCTCCGTTTTATTACAATGTCGCAGTGGAATTCCGCTCGCCTTGATCACCTCGACCTTGGGGAGCAGACGATCGAAAAACTAGTTTCCCGGGTTCGAGTCTAGATCTGGGATCATTGTTCGAGGAACTTCCCACAGCTCTCTTTTCTCCGAAATTCGCGCAAAGACTCGGTGAAGGATGCCGTCGCGAGAGGTTATTCGGGATTCGCATCGACACTCGCACAGCCAACTTATTGCTCGCTTGTAGGAAGGTAGGTGAAAGTCTTCTTGAAAGCGGACAGATAAAGTTTCGAAGGGGCCAAGAATGCGACATGACTTTTTCGGAGAAATTAGCGCTACATAGAGATGCTATGAAGTGGTCGGATAAAAAGATGGGTTTCGAAGGGTCGAATGGAGGGGGATCGACACTTTCGGCGCAGAGTGAATCGAAGCGCACTCTAAGAAATGACGGAGTATGGAATCGTGTTATTATTAATTATAATCGTGGCGACCTGAAGCCTACTCAAGGGAGAATATGGAATAGTATCCGAGATGTCGGGCCTCTGATTCCCACCCCTGAAGTCATCATCCTCGGTGGTTCCCAACCGGGGTTCCATGGAACCCTTGGGCTTCATCGACGATTCCGCGGGGTTCCAGGTTCGGATGCCGGTGGAGCCCCGAGGCTCCCACATACTTTCCGGGTTCCATCCATTTTCCTAGACAAGGTTTTGAGTTTTTTTCCCTCATCCTATTCTTGCGCTGGCGAGCCGGTAGAACATGTAGGGCGTCCGATGATAATATGACTTTTTGATGTAGCCTCGTCGAAACGTGAATCACGTCAGGTGATCCCTTCGCACTTTGTGATTCACAACCAGAGAGCGACCTTAATTCGCTGCTGTTTTCTTTCCCCAGTGAACACTCATTCAGGGTCTATGAACCTCCAAAATATGAGACGGCAATAGGGTTTTCCCGGTTTGATAGAGGTGGGGAATCGGCGTGGAGTTTGTGGACTTTCCGGTCGTGCCGTGCACCTGAGGCATTCGGCATTCGGATATGAAATCGGAAGCAGCGCTGGCGCCTTGAACTCCTAATACGCGGCGATATGCCTCTTTGAGCTGGATAAGAAGAGCTTAGCGTGGACAATGAGCAGAATGTCCATCGTCCACGATTTGGATTACACCCGGTGCGGCGGCGACTTAGAAGCCGGACGGAGCTTATCATGCCCGTGACAGTCGAGCCGCGGCCTCCGAGATTATTCGGCTGTGCCGGGAATCTTGAGCTCGGCAGTACCAGGTAGGGGCATGTCAGGCGACCCGACGCGACGCAGCGATCACCGGACCTAAGTACTTTGCATGTAATCCCTGTCTCGCTCGACAACCATATCTCGGGATGTCCAAAAAACCCGCGCCCGTATGGATAGGCGCCGGTTCCTCCGCATCTACATAGATTCGAGACCTGCATCGATGATTCTCCCGATTCGAGTTTGCGAGCACACGCGAGAGTAATCCCTCGAGGAAGCGTTCTCGAACTATAATGACAACATGTACCTGGACGGGGCCTAGTGGAGGACGTCCCTGGATAGACATAACATGGGTGCCTACTTGTCGCAACAATTTCCGATGAGGGTTACTGAACTCATAATTGGTGTCGCTGACCGAAATCCACCTAGGTTCATCTTCTGCCTACGACAGCCATACGATTGGGTTGGGCGTGCGGCTGGCGACCTGGTCGGGAGAGATATGCGAAGTCCAGTCTGTAAGAATTTCCTGAATGAGGCGGGAAAATCGGATCCAAGGCCTCGACGAAAAATTAGAAAAGCAACGTGTAGAGGGACCTCGCCTCGCGTGAAGATATAGTATCTTGCCTAGTCGACCAGACAGAAAAACCTCTTACGCATGTGAGCCCTACACGATCAGGTTCACTTTCTTTCTGGAAAACTCCACTCCTCCCCAAGAAGTTGTCCGGCGTCGGCGCATCTTTTAGATTTAGATGACAGGCTCCTCGTATAGTAATAGATGACGCACTCACCGACTCCGGGCCGGCGAGGAGAGTGGAATCTTCACTCCTCATAGAGTCCTAACGTCTCCGAGGGACAGTGCTCTCCTCAGCCGCCTGGATATTTATTCTGGTTTCCATTTTCATATTTCATACCTCGGTCCCAAAATGGTTTCCATTGATGAATGTTCAGCCATGCGTGCCTTCTCGGGGGAATCCGGATGACAACGTCTCGCAGGCTGATTCCGCATTGAGTTGCTGTCGGGAGGGGAGAGATGTCCTCGATCGGACCATGCCTGCGTTACGTCGGCGTTGTCTTGAGATAATGGGGACCAAACCAAATACCTGATTTGCTCAGCTCCCTTACCCTCGTGTTTTGGGAGAAAATCGCTTTGTCGTCGTAGACGCTGAGCATTCGGGAATAACTTGCTTATCCGCCTAATCCCTTCGAAAGGGAGGCACACGCTCATAAAGGGAAGCAAATACACTTCCTGTCCCACTTCTCGCTGAGCCAAACGACGGGAGAGTTTCAGAACAGACGCCATCATGCTGCTCAGAATTGCCCTGGCAAGCGCCTTACTATTGGCCGTGACCGCCCAGAGGCAAATCAAAACCGAGGCTTGCGGTGATCATTCAGTTCCGTTTGGGATCGATATCCTTATCAACTCTTCGGCCTACCCTCTCGAGAATTGAGACGAGGATATCTGTTCTCGCTCCGGCTTACGAGCTCGCTTTCCAGATGAAGCCGGGAAGGGCGTGATCCAGTCGGTAACCGTGACTCCGTGTACCACCGAGCCCTGTCAGCTGAAAAAGGGCGCAGTTGCATCCTTCGGATTCAAATACACCTGTGACCAAGTAAAGCAGCACATCTGCCGAGTCCATCATGACTGATGACCATGAATTTCGAAGTCTCCAACATATCTATATCGGTCAGGATCAGGAACCTAGAGTGCTAAAATAATCGATGTCTTCTTCGCCCTAAAGGATAGCGAATTCGTCCGGCTGCAAGGAACCGCCTCGGGACCCTTCGGGATCAAAATCCCCATCCCAGGTCTCCAAAACGATTTCTGCAAGGTCGTCGATTGCCCTGTCCAAAAGGTTAGTATCGCTCACAGAAGCTCGAAGCCGTGAACTTGGCCCATAATGAGAAAGTCCCAAGAAACCCACGTATCGCTCATCCCCTCACAGGACAAGGTTTATGAGGGCTCCTTCGACATGAGGATCGGCAGAGTTCCCCTGGTGAGTGAGGGGTTCCCCCTCAAAATTCAAGCTTCTTATCCGGCATGAGATCTCTCTCATCGAGTAGCATTGGGCGCAATTTTTATAAACCCGTGACTCGCGAATGACACCTTGCTCTTTCAGACGAAAACGACTGTAGAAATGAAGGTTCTCGGAGCTTCCGGTTTGAGCGCTTGCTTCAAGTTTCCCGTGAAGCTCATCTGAGAGCACCATCAGGGAGAGTAAAGGAGAAGCTTTCTAGGAATAAAATTATTGCTGTTAATGCTCTATGTCTGTCTTCCTGGAGGAATCCTCATCGAGGAATACTTGATATCGGTACGCGCGTCGACTCGTGACTGGTTTTTCTTCGCTCGGGCATGCCTCCTTCTTGGAGAGGAATCCATAAGTCGTACAGCCTGGGGTCCGGGATCGGACAAGGGAACGCACTCGGCGAGAAACAGGCGCTCAGCTCCGGTCCTGCAGCGACGCGACGGTCGACGCGCCGTCTCTCGCAAGCTTGATCGCTCCCGAAATTCATGAATTTCTGAAAGCGACCAATCTTAGTTCCTGGACTTTAGATACCGACATCTATTCCGAATAGATAGACGTCCTCGCTGCCGAGGAATGGGACGGAAAGGATGAGGCTATGCACAACCAGTCTCAATTCTCCCCTTGCGTCAGAAACAGCCGGCGGTGTGCTTACTCCCCGACGCCATTCCAAGAATGGTGATGATCCGGCTCCCACTTTTGCTCCATCTCGTCTCCTCATGGGCGTGAGGGTGCGACGTGGATCTGGTTTCGTGATTTGAATCCATGGAATCGAAGTCCTCAATGGAAGCAGGTCAGAGGAATATGTCAGTTTTCTCAGGGGGCGGCTCTTCCTCTTCGCCAGATGACGTTCCATGAGACTGTTTCTCAAACAGCCATTGGCGAGAAAAGTTTTCGGTATTTCCCGGGACTTCCACGCTTTTCTCGTGACGCATAAAGTCCCGTGAGTCGCTCGAGGTCGCCCTAGTCGTGGAGATCACTTCTAGACTGGCTCACGAAGTCTCCCGGCATATAGCATCCGAAACGATAAGGAGCAGCACGCATTCTCGAGATGTTTGACCCGAGACCTCCGATCGTACGGCTCTCAGGGGGCTGGCGTTGAGGCTTTGTCGGTCTCTTGTAGCTGTCTTGTCATCGAGCAAAGGCGAAACGAAGTCGCTCAATCCAATCAAAAATCACGTCTACTCGGCGGACGGAAGGTGTGAGCGCATGCACTGTGCTTGTATATGTACAGGTACATATATACATTTTTCGCCTGAAGATGCGAAATTAAATCGTGGAATTGGGATCGCCACGACAGTGTCGACCCAGATCTTTGAGAGAATTCATCGCGAAAAAAGAACGTTCAAGTTTCCGAAGTTCCTGATGAGATCGATCCCACACAGTTACGTGTAATGAGGAGAGGGGATGGCACAAGCTCGACCGATTGTCGGTACCTCCATGTCTTGATTAGATCGCGACGGGTAAGCTCCGGAGAGCTCCTGAGAATTTTTTAGATGTTTCCGAATGCGAGCCGAGTTCAGCGCACACCCCCCCCCCTGCCGACGAAGACTCCTCACGGAGCCCCATCTCATTCCGACTGCCGAGCGTTCACCCCGGAATTTCAAGAGCTACGAAATTCCTAATGGGCGTTGGAGAGAGTCCGCTCTCTCGCCGGTGCGATTTCTAGTACCAGACGAGTGGTTAAAGAGATTCTCACAGGCATGTGAACGAAAATTCATAGTCGTCAACCTTGCGACGGAGCGCGGGACTCGGAATACCCCGACCTTAGGACCTTTGTGCCTTCGGAGCCATAGGCGGTCGAACCTGCCGAAACCAGAGTTGGCCGACCCCTTTTCGTTGGAGGGTATAAACGACGGAAAAGCGCGAACGGCGTGAGTTGGTTCCAAAGGTTCATGGGCTCGAATCTTCGCGATAAGCTCGCTCCAATTCGTCAATACGGACCATTCTGAGAGACCTCAGATAACCTGACCGTGTACGATTTTGTCGGGAGGGATGCTAATCCAGAGAATATTCCGTGGAGACGGAGATATTTCTGACTGACACTCGCTAAAGAAGCTCACGACATAAGGGAGGAACGGGAGGGAACAAAAAACTCCAATGCGAATTCTGAACGGGAGTGCGGAACAAGTGAGAAATTCCTAGCATGACTCTTCGGAATTTGGAGGACGGGTCTCGATGCGGCTGCAGCTTCCGCATGAGCCCAGACCAGGTGAGATTTCAGCTCCATAGACAATCATCGTAGCACATGGAATCTCTGAGAACCGAATGAAAACCGGAAAACTTCCGGGAGGACCCGGCCCCGGAACGATCTCCTGGGGAGAAAACTCGCGGGGGTTTTGATCCGTCCCCGAGTTTTGCTGAGAAACGAATCGGTGCTGTTGATCTAAGGCTCTCGCGACGGTTTGATCTTGAGTTAGAATCGCACTATGTTCTGCATAAGATTGGGAAACCATGAAAATATTTTTTTCTCGCCATACTAAGAAGATTCGGTTCCAGATTGTGAGCTACCCGATGTCGAGAATAATCCTACTCAGCGTCCTGGCTCTCGCCGCCTCAGCTCAGCGAGTGGTCGACGTCACACCTTGCGGTAAGATTCTACATTCAGGTCAACTTGGGGGCATAATCCCTGCGGAAAGTCCGCCGCGAGGTATCTCTCTGTTCGCTAGCATGAATGCGACGCGATCGGTCGCTCTCTCGAAAATTGATAAGCGGCTCCCGGATATCCGGTGAGCAGGCTCAATCAGCGCCTCCGGTGCAGCTAAACGAGGAATCTCCGGGGTTTCGACAACCGATCACATATTTTCCGCCACTCAATCCTAACCCTTATTAATTCTCAGATGATTCCGGAAATGGAACTCTCATCAAATTTGTCATTACCCCGTGCTCAACTGACCCCTGTGAGTTAAGGAAGGGCACTTTTGTCCACTTCGCATTTACTTACGTCGCGGACAAGGTAAATACATTTATGTTGCGATATCCCTCAATAGCTGACCACTGTAAACCGATCGGAGATACAGGCCCAGTGGACTATAAAGGCCTCGCGCGGCCTTTTGTCGCTCAGGGTGGGAGGAGGGTATCCCCCGAATGAATCAAGTATTCGAGGCATGCGATTTCGCTATGAATGGGAGTCTGAGGTACTAAGCGGTGTTATTTATCATTGCGCAGTTCAGCGAGACTGTCAACCTGAGTGGCACAGCTACGGGACCTTTCGGGATCAGGCTCCCTATCCCTGGGATCGATGGTGATATGTGCAAGGTTGTCGCCTGTCCCGTTTCAGAGGTTAGTGCTTCGAGTGGATCACGAGTCATTATGCAAAGGAGGCGGTTTTTACTAGAGAAATAGAGGACATCATCAATCCTCCTGGTTTGCAATCTTGACGCATTTTTCTTCGACACGTGACTGAGTTCCATCTTCCGCAGGGCGCGACCTACACCGGAGCATTGTCCTTGAGAATCGCCAGGATCCCGATTGTGAGTTGAGAGGCTCCTCTTAATTCTTTAACCCTCGATAGATTCCTCTCACAAGAGCATGATTTTCATAAGATTCCGGAGTCGGGGTTGCTCCCCCTCGATCAGTTCATGAGCTCGCAAAACTTTCGGAAGCCTAAATGAGCCTCTCTTATTACAGTCCAAGACCACGGTGGAGATGAAAGTTTTCGGAGATGCCGGCCTCAGTGCGTGTTTCGTCTTCCCGGTGACGCTCGTCTGAAACTTCGCCGCAGTGGGCTCATCGAACAAACTGGAGGAAACTGAACTAACTCTTGAGAGAGGGTCGGACTGGCTCGTCCCCGATCGAAACATCCGTGATCCTCCCCCGTGGGCGTCGTTTCCCGGCTGCCCAACGGAACTACGTATTCCTCTACGGAATCTCGCTCGGACTTGTGTATTGTTGTCAGAAAAAATAAAAGAGGTTATGCTTGAGGGAAACTCCCCCAGGTGGAGCTCTGTGATACGGAAATTCTGAAGTTCGAAGCTCAATTCGATGCGTGCAAGCAGCAAAACGGATTTGACTGGAGCATAATATTTCCCGTCCGGAACAGCCATTTTCGCGCTCGGGAATATGCCAATTGAGCTCTCGGAAAGCTTTTTGCCAGTACGAAGGCCTTCTCCCGATCAAAAATGGAGAGGATATCGATTCATTCATCAGTGTAATCTGAGCAAAGTCTGGCGGTTTGTGAGCGACACGAGTTTCAGTCACGAGTCTTCTTCGAGAGCTACCTAGCTGTGCAGCCCGATCGCGGGAAGCGCGTTCCTATTCTGATTTTCACGAGCGCGCAGGAGACACTCCCAGTTCCCCAGAGAGTCCTAATTTCTAAGAACCAACCAGTAGGACTCCGAAGCTACCGAACTGAAAATGTGTGGGAGGGCCTCTATTTCTTCGTGGGTGAACTGCGCCTCGGGGGTAGGATCTGGGTTCACGTATCCGTCGATGAAAGAGGAGCTTGCCAAACCCTCACTTCAATGCCGACAGGAGTATCAATAAGTGAGAACTCGTACGTTGCGGACTTTTCCACGGCGGGAATGCTAGGATCCGAAGAGAACGATTGCCAATCTGTTCGCTCCACTATCATTAATTGTGCTAGATTTCAGTTACTTCTCTAGAGCTCAATCCATGATTAGAACAGAAGCCACACTTTCTGGCTCGCCGCACCGATTCCGGTCATTTCAAGGAGGATATCCTTAATCAGGCACCTTCGGAGATCAGAGTCCAAGGTCCTTCACTTATCTCGCTACAAGTGTCAGAGGAGGATTAGGGGATTTCCTTCCGCAAGGAGCTTACGCCGGAAATGAAAGGGATCCTATCACTCCTGGGATGGTCGGGTGACCATGGACTTCGGAGTATAAACAATCTCTCTCTGTGCCGGAGCTCCGATCAGTTTGTCTGTCTTCATCTGATTATCCTCTCGCTCTCTCGTCTCGTTATTGAACTTCTCACTGAATTATTAACGAACTTTCTCTGACAGTGAATTGGTCGAAGCGATGGAACCGCTGAAGCTCTCCGCGGATCAACCTCCCTCCAATGAAGGGAGTTGACTTCTCGTGGAACATCGATGGAAATCCTGGAGACAAAGACAGGTCAGTGTGCAATAATTTGCTCATGCATATGCTTGTAGAGGTCACTTGCGAGGATTGAGGAATGGAGCCATCAAGAAGACCATGCAGGTATATGAATGAGGATACCACCGCTGTGAGGATTTTAGATTCACCCCCCCCACATGCGTTATAGGAATTTCTAAGCTGTTATCGAGTGGGAGCAAAGAGGGGAAATTGGAGCGTGATCGACACCTGAATCAATGAGACACAACACCATGAGGAATGTCTCTAGGAAAGCATTTCGGCAAATCCGACTTTATCATTATCCGAACCTGATTTTTATAGAATGGAAATCCTATCCGGCGACCGCTTGAGGAGAACGAGCCATTCGCAGAGTGCAAGTAGCGTTCCCTCTCCGCCTCTCCGTCTCTCGGGAGTAAGAATAAGGACTACTCCAGTCGGGCGCCGCCTGTTTCTCGCTGATGCGACAACGGTGCTCCGTATGATGCTTCAATCGGAACGTCGCGGGCAGTCAGTAGTTTGAGCGAAGCTCCAGATCTCTCCTCACTTAGAAGGGGAGCCGAACGTATCGTACAATTGAGCCACAACCTGACTTTGTCCGCAGAAAATCCGCTCTTCTCAGTGATGTCACCTAAAGAACGTCATGTCGTTTTTCATTCCGAGTCATTAGTCTTCCGGATAAATGACTTCCCTCCTCAAACAAGGAAATTCGTCTAAGCATCTGAGTTTCTATGCAATCATGAGGACGCGTGTTCCGATTCAAAAAATTCCCTGTCTCCGGACGAAGTTTCAGATGAGAAAAATGCGCCATGGAATGCCATTGCTCATCGGCGAAAAAGATTTTTTCGGAATTTCGTTGTTTCTGCATCGCGGGGGGACCCCGAGTTCCGCACGATTGGAAGTTCTGAGAATCCGGTACCGTTTAAATATCGCGACGAGCCCATCTGACCCAGGAACGCCCACGAGAGGGGATGAGTGCAGACAATTCTGGACTCACCCGAGACCGGGAAGATAAAATTTACAAGCGAATCCGAAAATCTTCGTCGCCAACAACCCGATCGCGACGTACCCGAATGGATTTCAATTAGGTCCACTCAAAACGTCACTCAAAAGCACTCTCGACTGTTCCAATATCTAATCAGAGTGACCAAGCGGCTGCTCGGCAAAAGACTCGGCCCTCTCTATCCTCTCAAATAAAAAGATAATGGATAGCCCCTTATTCATGATCGTCTACCGCTGCGCACGGAGGCTCTCTACGATCTAGCTCCCGCAAGAACGGCTCTCTTGGAGATGGACCAACCCGCGAACGGTGTCGACCTCGCCTGACTCGTCTGATGCGCGAACTCTGAGCTCTGCTCTCGGAATTCTCCGAATCGAGAGGGTCGGTGAAACTCACCTATCCGCCCGAGTCGGGGTCCGGGAGAGAGGTGAGCGGAATCTGTCGACTGCTCGGAATGCCATCCTTAAAATTCGTTCGGAGTCCGCCATTGAAATCGAGGAGAGAAAGGCCTCGAGGATCTTGTGGTATATCGAGAGCTCCGTCTTGGAAGCCCCGAATTCGCGGACGGTTGCCTCGAACGTATTCCCGACCCTTCAGAAATGGACAGCCGATCAGTGAAAATATTCGTGCTTTCCAAACTTCGGTCGACCGCGGACAATGCGTCGGGGTGATGCGTTGGCGGCGTCATTGGTTTGCATCGTTAATCCATTCGCTTCCCACAGAAATATTCTCACGTCCAGACAGCCGCTCACCGGAAACCACAACTCGGGGAGTCGTCGATCTCCACGCACGTTCATTGGAAGGCGGAAACGAGAATTGAATATTATCTGCGTCGCGGGATCTCGGAAGACCCGAAGTTTTCTCGCTGGTAAGAAATGGTCTCAGGGTGGCAGAACCGGAGAAGAGCTCTTTTCTGTTGTTTTCTTCCGTTGTCCCGGTGAAGCCTCTTTCCTCAAATTGTCTTCCGACTCCGCCATCAGCCGATTACGAGTTTCGATGACGGAGAGTTTCCTCGTTTTCGGACCTTGAAACCAATATTTCGAGAAGAAGGATATGTTTGAACCGTTCAGCCGGGATCATCTCCGACCGACGGTGATCGATTCTGAATGTCCGTCATGAATCATTTTCCTCGTGGGATAGAAATCATGCGAGAAATATATCCTCACCGCGTCTGCTATGTGAGCCAGGACTCTTTAAGGTGCACTTCTGGTGAATCGATGGCTTTCCTCGATCGCATCGCGAAATCAGGTATCGAGATTATCCTGACTGAACTCGGATGCACGCTCGGTCCATGGAACGATCATAAATCCTGGCGTAGTGATCCCGCGACAAATATGCCACGAGAGGGGATGGATTCTCGAGTTTCACCGAGGTCGCCCGCGGACTGAGACGGTCTCTCGAGCGAACGTACCGCCTCGGGACACAGTTTTCTTGAGCTATAACAAACCATCATAGATCACGTCTCGAGCGAGTTATGTCGAGGATGCTCTCGCCGGAGACGTAATTCGGATGTCCTCAGCTGAAGCACTCCATCCAAGTACTCGGAACATACAAGTCGCGTTGCCGTGGGAGCGTATCCAGCTTCTGCGGCGCGGCTCGGCGATTTTGGAGCACGGAAGACGATTCGGTCCGGCCCCCGGGTGTTTGGCTCACAGCGAGGAAAACATCCGCCAAGGTGACCGCTGGAGCTCCGGCAGAGTTTCTGGCAGCGTATCCGGGGCGGCGTATCCTCGGAAAGATCCATCCCGTGCTCCTGCAGAGGACGCCAGAAATCCGGTTGATGCCGACGTGGTAACAGGACGTCCTCGGACTTGCAAGAAGCGATTTGTGTATATCCAAACAAAAGCGCAGGTGCGTGTCGATCGGAGCCGCTCCGACCGTTTGCTCCTTCCTCCACAATGTGATCGGGGTCGCCCTCTTCGAATGGCGGCGTTCTTAGTGGTGAGAATTGGCCCCGAATGAATACACCGACCCGCAGTGTCATCGTTCCTGCACGGGTGGTCTCTCGCTAGCACCGAAATCCGATTTCGGCGAACAAAGAGAGGATGAAGACACCAAGCCCTCGGAATTTCCGGAGGCACAGCCTGCAGCTACGTAACCGGGAGACTCGATTCGAGCAGCAGTTCGCTCGCTTGAGAAACGCAGATATTGAGCACCAAATCAGTCGAGGATGTTCCGGGGCAATTCAGAACGGGTTCGAGAGGACGGAAGGAGAGTTTCCTATGACATCCCGGATTTCATTCTCCTCAATCGGCGAAGAATTTTTTCGTGGGATTCCACACCGGATCGGCCGCGTGCACCGAATCGAGTCTCGGTGTTCGATCGCTTCGCTAGCGATATCGGAGGCAGAGGAACGATCGTATCGTTTGATCGTCGGGAATCCTTGAGAGGGTTTCGTTCCTGAAGAATTATCGTATGTATTTTTCAAATTATCTCAGCGTTCCGCGAGATATTACATGAGATAACACAGTAGAGGAGCGGCTCGGGCCGCGGCCGCCGCGCCGTGGAGACTCATGGGGAGGAATTATTGCGCAAAGCCCGCGGTAAGTCAGCTCTAGTCAGAGATTCGCTGTGCTGCCCCACGCAATGTATTCCGTCAATAGAGATCGAACAGGAGAGGGAAAAACATTCCCCGTGAAGATAACCCAGTGGAA